ACCACCTAAACCCAAGTCCTCATTTTTCAAACCATACCTGATAAATAATTCACCACAGTAAGTTGCCAGAGAGTTACAAGTACATGTGTTGTACTAGGATTTTTTTTTAGTAGGAAAGACTGTTACTTTGGATGTAGTACTTTATTCTGTTGTCTTTTGGCCAGGAGCATTTTTATTTGCTATCAGTTTCCAATCTTGACACTTTTCTACAGTATCCTGAAGACAACATATGTTTATAAGACTGCTGAGCCATGGGAATGTTATTGGGCAAGACAAAACAAATTTCTAAGATATTCGGGGTATGCACTGTGCATGCTACTACAATGTATAATACACACTGTACACACTGACTGGTATATGTACATGTATAATAAATAAATGACCATCATGAATACTGTATGAACACATCCTTAAGTCTTATCTGCTGAACTTGGTTACTGACAGTTCCTGTGTTTCACACTCCTGGTGTCCTATTGATTGTATGGATTTTTTCCCCACTGGATAAGAAAGTTGCCCATTTGATGAATTGTTTCAGCAGTGTTGGAGGTATTATTGGCAGGTTTGGTCTGATGGCCCCATCATGACCTTGTTATCACCTCTGGGGGAACAGATTGAAGGGGTGAAAGTTCTGACGGGCAGAATACGGTATTCCCAACTTTCCCAAGAGCCAGTCTTCAGCGCTATGACAGCTGTCAAAGGGCATCATGACAGTGTCTGGATGATCTGTGCCATATCTAACTGTGCTTACTTCAAGCTGTAACTAAAATGCAACTTGGTGACCATGGCATAACTTTGAGGTACCCTATAAGTATACGAGGATAGACAATTTTTGTATGGTGACAATTTCACAATACTACTAGTAGTATACATGTAGCAGTACAAATGCAGTAGCCCTTTTTTGCACAGTAGTAATGTTGGAATGGTCTATTCTTGCAAACAGTTAAAATTTTGGGAAAGTGTATTTTTGATGGTTAGGAATGGGGAATTTGCTGCATGACTTGTAAATGCCATTTTTAGTGAACTTTTTTGGTTGTTGTCTAATCACAATTGAGAACATCAAAAAGATATGACAATACACCATGTAACCATAAAATCAGCAATGTGATAATTGATCACGAGGAATCCAGCTATCTTTGTAGAAGTTAGGCTGACTACTTTTTTTTTTCATTAAGTTGAAGTATCCACTAAAGAGGCCAACACCTACTTGAATCTGCATGTTTGATTCCCAACACTGATTGAAAATCTTTTAAGATACTTTGCCTTTTATCTTCATGTCCTGGTGCAGCCCCAAATCTTGATTACTTGGGAGTCTTATCTTCCTATTGCTAAATGAAAGGACATGCTGCTCTGAGACACACTTTCCTTTATACCTTAAAAACTGTGATTGATCAAAATGCAACCATATTCTGAACAGCTAGATCAAAAGAACTAATATTGCTTGTTTATCTCCCATCTTCTCCCTTTACTAGACCACCCTTTACTATTGACTTCAATACGCCCTAAGACATTTTGCCTTTGATCTTCAAAACTAAAGTGTCTCTTCTCTCCACCCCTTGCTGGTGCTCTTTTTTTGTACTGGCTAATGCCCGTAATCCAACTACATGTATTTCGTGGAGGTATTATAATACTCACAGCTGAGCAAGATCTAGCCTTTGTGACTTGTTTTTGATCAAGAAACTGTGCACCACTCTTCCCAATGTGGCCTAATGCCATAATTGATTATCTGATGCCAAAATACTATCATAGAGGTGGGAACTAAGCTTAGCATCAGTTGAGAGTACAAATGTATTCCACTTCATCCAGACTGTTCTGTTTCTTCTGCCTGAGATGTAATAAAGAGTGACACTGTGGAGCTCCTATGTGGGCATGTTGGAGATGGGGGAGAGCAGTTTGTCCATTTGCCAAGTAACCCTTTTAGCTTCTACCCTTTACCAGTTTCTATTTTCAGTGACCACTATGGGTACCCATGGGCATGTGAACTTGACCTTCTGTGCAAGGTTTTCCCTGGGTTCCTATGGTATTGTCTTTTTTCTATGTATGTATGCACATCATGCCCTATGGAAGAAAATCATGACTAACCTGTAACCATTATGATATAATGTTATCTTAGTCTGGAGTGAATTGTAGATGACTTGAATCTAAAACAGCTGAGCATTTGTACAATGTACCTACACTGTTAGTGTATCAGAACATACTAAAATAAATCTTGAATTTCACAGAGACGTTCAAAGTCAGTTTCATGACAATAAGTAGCTATTGACCTTGAACTTCATAGAAATGGACAGCCTGTTTCAAGACTATACTTTTGTACCTACACTGTCTCAGTACATACTAATAGACCTTGAGCTTCACAGAAATGCTCATAGTCTGTTTTAGAGACAATAAGTAGTTACTAGTATTGCCCTTGAACTTCAGAGATGTACCTGCTCTACCTCAGTAAGTGCCTATTGACCTTGGCTGTTTTTCCCGTCCAGACGAATGGTTCCTGCACATGTATAATGTAGGATCCAATCAGGTGGCGGCCATACTTACCTTATCACACTGTAACAGTGGTGGAGTTAGGGCTGATTACAGACACAAAACTGTAATCTTGCGATTATATGCGTTTATTATATGCTGAACATTACATCTGTTAAATTTGAAAGGTCTCAATCTGATATATTCTTTGTTTTTGTACTTTTACTGTCCATTTTTAGCAAAGACAGAGTCGTGCTGTTGTTTTTGCAGTGCACACATGCATTTGTGACAGAAATAACTTGTTGATAAGCATTTCTAGCCTCTACCAGGCACCGCGTATCACTGGAAAAATAAAATTGGCCGAAATAAAGGGTATACCAGGGGAGTTAGCCAAATATTGGATCCTCTCTAGCCGGCTAACTCCCCTGGTATACTATCCCTTTATTTTGCCAAATTCTACTATTTTTCCAGTGATCCGCGGTGCCTGGTAGAGGCTAAAGCAATTCCAACTACCATCATTTGTTACTAACTCTTAACTGTGTGAGTGCTAAATTAGAAACTTGTAGTTCAAACCCTAAGCTTATAGCAGTGGCACAAATGAGAGGGCTCCTACTTAACCATACACTGATAAACTCGTTCACGTTCTGCACACTTGACACTTTCTTCAGCACACAGGCAGCTGCTGAAATACGATAAGCTACCATGTCATTGACAGAGGTGACTCGGGCAGCCCCTCTCTCAGATACGAGGCATCGTCAACGTTTGGCTCAGCTGTTTTGCAACCTGCTCTATCCCCAGTTTCACAACCTTCTTATCAACCACCCAGAACCAGCCGCTCCCAGGGTACCTTTACTACTTTGGAAGGCCCTACGCATGCTTGAAAACTGATGGAAGATAAAGCCCGTGTAAATGGAATATCAATAACTCTATTTTGGCCAGTTATTAGCCAGGAGTGATGGGTTCTAGTCCCAAAAACCTGTTATCCCGCCAAGGTAATGACCCGCCAAGATTTTTCCTAACGATTATCTGACATGGGGTTTTTAAGGACCTACCCTAAGAGTCGATAATAGTAGGAACAGATCAAAGATTTTACAAGAAATCAATACAAAAACTCTGGAACCACCCAGTCTGAAGAACTTTGGACAGCAGTTGATGGACTAAGAAAAGCAAACTGGATTTTAACAAATCTGTCTTGGAAACATACATGTACATGTATATGGTTTAAAAAAAAAACTTTTGAAAGAATGTACAATTACATGTCATCAGTTATGAATGACATGATTTTATGGTTTAGACTAAGATGTTAAAAAAGTTTGAACTTTCTTATAGCAGCGTTGCTTTCCATCATAGAGAAATGCAATGTTACTTTGGTGCTTAACTTTATGGGTTTTCCCATTGTACTTGCAACAGCAGAAAGGTTAATGGAATTTTTACGCTGTTATGGTGTTAAGAAGAGATAAAACAAAATCCACAGTAGACGGTTTGCTCCGAAATTGCAACACAGAAAAGTCTGCCAGATGTAACACTGCGACACGTATACCCTTTATGTACACTCTATAAAATTGCACATGATGATAAAAGTACAAGTTTACTCATCATGATAGAATATCCTCCTAATAGTCTCCTCCATCATTACCTGACACAACAAGGCAACCTGCTCTTCCGTAATGGCGGCTGTAGCTTATCTTTGATACTTTCCAGAATATTGAAGGTACAATTTATGGCTACTTTGGTTAATCTGCCAATCCAAACAGGTACTTAGATTGGACGGGGCAGTCCACAGAACCATTTTGGTTCATCTAGAGCTGATCCAAGGCCAATGCACTGACCTCCAGGGGACGTAAGCTGTCAATTTGCGGAGCGGAATGCCCGTCTGTATAACGAGAAGTACCTTGCCGTCTGCAGTAAGTGGCATCACTACACTGCATTCATGTGTGCTGAATGCTTCAGCACTACCTCGAGGGGTTCCTCAATCTGTCTGTAGACGGCAATCAGGCTCCGTGAATACACTTGGATTGAACGGGGCTTTCAAGAAAGGTCCGAGCTTTCAACTTCCAATGATAGCGCCGCAATCTGGTAATCTTCAAAAAGCTTTCCATAACCCGCTGAGAGGAAAAGAGGCAGGACTTTGGGAGTAAATTCTACTGGAGCATGGTGCGCTTTAAGTGTGATTTCCCCAGCTTCAGTGTCTGTCAGAATACATGTACTTTATTTTCAAATAGTAGACTTTCCTGTCAATATGATCCCAGCATCTGTCCTTAGTGCTGAAAAGCTATCAAATACTTTTAACAAAATAAAAAAAGGAGAAAGAAGGAAAAACATCCAAGTCACAGTCCCTGCAACTTTCATATAGATTGTATATTGAGTGATGCTGAGTTGAAAATGCTTTGAAAGAAGAATAGCAATGACACACAAACCAGATATTTCCTCTAGCAGACTGAGTATGTTATGTCCGAAACACAATTATTTCAGTTATTTAGCAATACATGTTGAAACTGCAGTAATATATATCAGTGAAAGGAAGGGATAAGTGAGATACTGACCTGGTTGGCTGGGTGGCTGGACAGGCACTGGTTGAGGGTGATGGTGTGGTCATCACACAGGGCTGGACACAGGGGACCGGTGATGATTCCCTTGTGGTAACGGTCACACTGTAACAAGTAGTCAAACAGAACGACAGGTTAGATGGTACAAACAACTATCAGTCATTAAAACATGCTTGAATATCAAACAAGCTGTTATGTAGTAAATGCACATTGTAGTATTACCTTTCCATGGTACTGAAATACATTCAATACTGTTCCATGGTACTGAAATACCTTCAATACTGTTCCATGGTACTGAAATGCCTTCAATATCATTGCAAGGTACTGAAATGCCTTCAATACTATTCCAAGGTACCTTCAATACCACTAAGATAGAATTACTCTCTTTCCTTGGATTGAAAGACTTTCAATACCACTGATATTACAGGGATGGCTTTCCTTGCTACTGAAAAACCTTCAACACCACTAATATTCCAGCATAATATAGCCTTTTTATGGTGGTGAAATACCTTTGATGGCATCAATATTGCAGTATGCCTATCTATCCCCGATGCCAAAATATAACTTCACAGTGTAAACCTTCATGGTACTGAAGTACCTTCCACACAATTCAATGATACTAAAGCATGGCCCATCTATGACATTATGAAGTTTTTGAAGTAGGAAACTATGCTGGGGATGCCATCTGTTTCACCTTCCAGGTCAATGATGAAGTGTTATCTAAAGACTGCCTGAAGGCTCATTAATAAAGATACAGATAGATCAGGGTTATGAATAGCTCAACAGCAGATCACAGACATTGATTTCAGAGGTAATTATCACTTGTGGTTGCTATTCTGGAAATGTAAGCTCAAGTTCTACTCAAATGATGAATCTATATGTTTCTATATGTATGTACCTTTAACATAATAAAAAAGGAGATGAAAGAAAGTGAAGCCAATTCAAACCAAACCACATTGTCATTAACAGATACTTAGTGAGAGCATGAAAGATTGCCTCCTATAGCAACAATACTAACATGGATTGATCACCATTAGCATTAAGTACAAGACTACTGAGGGCCATCCTTGACAAGATGGATATGTTACCATCTGGACCTCTCTCTTTTTCTCAAAGGTATTGGTGCCTTGGAAGTTTGCTGGCTGACCTTCACTTTATCTTCAAGGTCACAGTTCTGGCTCTTAACTTAAGTTAAAACAGTACTGTTGAGACTAGTACATGTATGTGTACATATTATGCATATACTGTGTTGTAACAATTGCTTAAGAAGTGTACACCCTACATTGTTTTATCACTGTAGTATAGTACACTATCCATTTTGGCTTGTGTGATGGACAGAAAGTTCAGCCTGTAATTTACATGTGTATTGTCACATACACTTTAGAAAGCTACTTTGATCTCATAGGTGTAGAATAGTAGATTATGGTATTTAGAGTTGGCTGTCAGAAAAAGAAACTAGCCTAACAGTATTACCAATTACAGGCACTACACTGCTCCACCGCAATTGATGAGCACACCAGTGAATTGACAATGTTAACACCCACCATGATTTGACCTATAAAATCACCCATCATGCAATCTGGGTCAAGGGTTAATGGAGTCCACACCATTTCACTGCTATTGCCCCCCCCGCGGAGAAATGTGGACCCACGCGGCTCCGTAAATCTCTACATTTGTGTAGTTGGTCGTATAAAATTGGTTTTCCTATTCCAATATCATTCTATAACAGCAGTGGTCATTGATGTCTTCATTGAGAAACACCATGCATCTAAGTCACTAGGGTCTGTGGTATACCCTGACCCAAAATGATACAATGTAGCATGCTTTTGTTTGAATAGGTTTAGGATCATACAGCTGATAGTATTATAGCATGTTTAATACCAATATTTCAGATTTAGCTGTTAACCTTATAAAGCAAGTGATGCTATTACAACTCTTGCCATTCTGCTATCACTGACTGAGTGTAACATACATTTGGATTGAACTTTACTGAGTCTTTATTAGAGCATGAAAAACAACACTTGACATTTCATGACCTCCTTGATTGTAAGCCAAATTGTATATGACAGAATGACAAAAACGAACAATTCATAAAAATTCTAATACTGTTTTTCACCATTCTGAAAATTCAAATGCAGACTGATAGACTAGTAGTATTTTCACTCAATGGCTTTTGAACTATAGCCTTGACAAAGACAGCATTTGCCATTGAAGTCAATATCCACATGCTGTATCCCTCCCACATTATGTCACTACATGTACAATGTACATGTACTTTGTGTGACACGAACCATGTCTTGCTTTTGCTATACCATTTTGTTCTGCAATTTGGAAATACTTTATGCAAATACATTGTACATAAGCTTTTAGACATGTACTAAAACCCCAATTTTTCAGTCTGCAAAATTGCAGGTTGCTTGATTTTTCTTCTGCCATATTGAAAATGTCTCTGCAAAATGCAGACTGCAGGTGGGTATTTTAAACACTGACAATTATGTATGTAAAATGTCTGATGAGAACCATGTAGCTGCCTTGGTCCTGCCTGCCGTGCCATGGGAACAGGTGGTCTGCATTGATTACCAGTGAGCCGGCAGGATTATGAAGTGGGGCATGGCTGGCAGATCCAGAGCAGGAACAAACATTACACCTGTCAGCCTCACAGGTCACCTCCCGTAAAGTACCTCATAAACTTCTCCCCCCTCCCACTTATCGATTGGCCCTGCTTAATGGACTTGATCCGACATTAGCAGCTTTTCTTGTAAAAATCTGTTCAACTAAATCGCCAGATGGTTGTCACTGTCGCACGGATTTTCATGTTTCGGGGAGATACCGGCAACTCTAATGCCCCCGCAGCCGGCGTAAATCTCTCTCGTCTGATGTTTGATATGTTTCTTACCCCCCAGTGGTTTCTAAGAACACAGCACCAATCTTAAATGTACTTGTGTGAACAGTTGTATGAGGTAATAATGATATCACGTCCCCACACTCCGCCTGGTGCTTAATATATTGCCCCTTTTACCTGCTATGAAAATGAATTTACCTCCTGGAGACATCAACATTGGATTTTTCAGGGAGAAACATTGAAGTGTTGCTGTGATCATCTACTGATCTACGTACATGTATAGTGTGCAATTTCCTTTATGACATTGCAGCATCAATGGAAGCAATGACTTTTCCACCCATGATATAAGATGTGGTTGTAACATGGTTCAAATATTTTACCAGACTGCTGTGAAATACATCAGATGCTACAATTTAGTACAAAATGTACTTGAAAAAATGTATAAAATCTAAAACTGCATCAATAAAGGCCTTGGGTCATCTGACACGATGAAAGAAAGAATTTTATAATCTATCGCCATAAAACAATCTTACAATTGATTCTACAATGTAGGTATCCTGAAATGGTAAATGAAACAGTCATTAAGCCCTTCAAAATCTGTCATCAAGACGGTACAGCCGTCATTACTTCAGAGGATATTTTGTATCTAGATGAGCCAAAAAAAGTGCTGCGTCCCATTTTGCATCTTATCTATGGCCTCTTCCCCATGTAAAAGCTTTCAATTCTACTAAAGGACACTGCATCTGCTCCAAACAGACCAGCTCCCTGCCTAACCATCGAAGAGGAACAGCAGTAACATACTCCTGAACACCATCCATGCACTCTTCCCTTCATGGCTTTTCTCTTCATTTCCAACTGGCTGAAAGGGGCTCCATACTGAGAAAACTATGGCAGTGATTGTGCACAAATCCTCACTCATTGGGAAAAAGGGTAGGAGCCTTTCAAATAAAAGTAATGCTGTAAACAGCACATCTAGATCTCATCAAATATTTATGACAGAATGTTACTGAGTTTGTGCCATCCTCGAGGAAGGAAGAGATTTCAGCAGACAAATATGTAGAAAATTACTTGTTCTGCATCTATTGTGCATCTTTATACATGTAGTATAGTGTCATCTTTATGATGATAAATTCTGTCATACAAAACATGTCTAACTTTAATTGCATCCCTCATGATGGAAACTTTGGAAATAACTTTGACTTTCTATAAAAGTGTGACGCAAGTACAGAATACAGAAGCCGTATCCTCACTCCACCCTAAATGATATTTGGCAGGAACACTTTCCTGATTCCACAAGGAGATAGCAGTGTAAAATGGGGAGAAACTTGCTTGCCAATAACACTTTACCTCAGGTGTAATGTGACGTGTTGTTGTAGCTTAGAGACTAAACATTGCAGACAGTTAATGTCATGCTCGGTTGAGCAATGAACAGCCTTTTTTGACCTAGGAAACACAATGGTACACGCACTGAGCTACCTATAATATACCTTCATATCATACCCATTTGAGACCCTACTCCTATGTGTACATGTTGCTAGAACTTCATCTGTTTGTTTCATGATTCATAAAACACTTAACTTCTGGCCAATAGTTGTCAGAAATGCTTCCAGGCAAATTATAGCCTTTTTGCCAGCATTGACTTTCTAAATGCATAATATATTTCTTGCTGTAGACAGAAAATCCCAACAGCATTTAAACTGGATTAAAGTCTCACCTCAATGAGGTGTGTGAATGTTTGACCCGGTTTACACGACGACAAAAACCTGGCGTACGATAATGGCGTACGCACGCGATCGTACGTCCGTTTCGGTTTACACGGAGCGGGACGGACAGCGCCGGGACTCCCGTAGCGCTCCACACTTTCGTGACCCCATTTGACCCGCCGCGAGCTTTGACATAGCGCTATTTTCAAAATGGCGGGAGAACAGGCTCTTTTTCTGTTCTTCATGCGTCAGATGTTGCTATTCTTCTTTTCGCGGATGTACTTGCGTCGCCGGGCATTGCGTAGAAGAAGGGTTGGACGTCGCAGGGAGCGGTACCATGAGATCCAACGGGCAGCAATTTTTGCAGTCATTGCAATCATTCAAGCTCAAGGCGGGATCGATCGGTCAGTGTGGGAACGTGACAGTTAGAGCTATTGCGCATTTCTGTCATGGTCAGTTGCGGCAGTCGCGAGCAAACAGGCTCAGCAAAACAACAAACAAATCAAATACGATAAAAAAACAAAAGGAAAACCGAAACGGATCAGAGAAAACAGAGTAAAGATCAGTAACACGGCGTGGGTTTTCACAGGAGCGGGAAGAAGAATGGAATTTGCATATGACCCCTGACCTCCTGCAACAGGGAAGTGCTTGCGAACGCCGTTCGTACGATCAGTCGCGTTTACACGAGGCGGGGAAGCATCTTGACTCCCCGCTGGGCGATCGTACACGATCGTACGCCTGCCTTCGAGGTGGCGTACGCAAATTGCGTACGATAGGTGCGTACGATAGGTGGGGCCGGTTTACACGCTGGAAAAAATGGTCGTACGCAATTGTCGTACGATCGCGTGCGTACGCCATTATCGTACGCCAGGTTTTTGTCGTCGTGTAAACCGGGTCTAAGACTACATGTAGCTTGAATGTTAATTTGTGTTGGTGTGTTATGTGTTATGCAAGACTTTACCCCCGGCATATACTATATGCAAGACTAAATTACTTGGAAGCAGCTACAGTGTGAAGCACTAACCTACCCGGAACCCGGAGTGCTTGACTCGGAACCAAGAGGTCCCGAGTTCGAGTCCTAACATGCCACCGAACTTGTGATCTTGGGAAAGGCACTTAAAACGACTTTCCTCACTTTGCTCAGATGAAAATGAGTTGTCCCATGTTTGTGGTGGCATTAACATAAGTTGAAAAACTTGAGTGTGCCATCACCACGTCTTGTGATTACATGTTGGAATATTAGTAAAAAAAAGTACTTACGATGATGGCTCTACAGGCATCTTCCCGGCACAGCTCAGTGTAGGAGGAGTACTTGAAGTAGACGGCCCAGCTGCCGATGAAGATGACCAGCCAGATCACCACCAGCGTCTTAATCTTCATGGGCATTCTTGCCTGCACAAAACACAAAACAAGGAGAAGTTTAAGATTTCATACATCTCAAAGTATTACATGTATAGTTGTTCTTTGCAAGAAATGACCCGCTACTATGGTCACATGTCTCTGATGTCATGTTCCAAAAGTAGACGGGTCCATTCCATGAACAAGGTTGAAGGAGTCAGCCGAAAATTTGGGGTAAGTCCTAATTCATTCCACTAGTGTTGGCAGAGAAAGTTTATAAACTTATTAGTCTTTATTTCATAACAGTTGTTCTTGTGAACTTCTTGCTGATTCTTTGGGTATTCAACTGTTGTGCACAATGTTGGGCAATCCTCCAGTTCCCGAGTTCCTTCAGCATACTGTTCACTTCATCCCAGGTTCTGTGGAGAAACCATCTTGACCTACATGTACAATTTGACCTTCTTGTCAATCTATGGCTACCCCATGGCCATTTCTCCCTTTGTTTCCTAGTGAACCAAAAGAATTCGGATTCCCTTGACAGTGGTACATTGAAGCAAAGCAGAAAGAAGAATCCCAGTTTGCAGTCTAAGACTCTTGCAAGATCATTTAAATGGAATACTTATTGCACATGTGTTTCGAAATATAGCAACTATTTACATGTATTTGGTCCTCTTTCTGTTGACTACAGACTTGTCTTCAAAACCACATAATGGAGTTTGATGGGTAAATAACCAGGAAAACCCTTGGCAGTAAGTTACCAGACTTAAAAGCAAATTCTTGTGGCAAATGAAGTGGTTAAGATCAAAAGTACTCACAGTCCTTGACAACTACATTGACTATAAATAGCAAGTTTGGTTACATAATTATACTCAAGTTAAGTACACCCCATGCCTGAGACTTAATCTGCCTTCACACCCAAGAACCCCCAATGTCTGAGTTCCGGTCAGATAACAGACCTTAAGCTGCAAACTAAAAGCTGGCCTGGCAGTGATGGGTGAGGCGGTCCAATCTCACAGGAAACAGACCAAGGAAACCCTTTGCTGCCGCTCTTTTCTCCATCGGTTCACTCTAAATCCTCCCTGAGCCGAAGATCGATGACGTATTAGCAGCACCTTCTTATCTCACTACTCTGTATCACTGCAGGGTTCTCTGCTCTTCTATGGACACACTTTTACAATTCATTTAGATCTTGCTTCCTGCCAATAGATGTGCTTTAAAAAGGAGTTTATTGCTACTTTACAGGTAGATATGAGGGAACACAGCAATCTATGGAGGAACAAAACGTACAAGAATTAAAATACAGATTAGTTAAGGGTGCCAGCAGGCTTAGTCTAACTCTGAGACCTAGACAACAGACTGAATACAAACATTTTAATGTGATGTGACAATAGACAGTAATGTACAGAAATACATGTAGGCTGTCTAGGATAGGAAATATTAGCACTAAAGATGACTAAGTATTACCTGTTTCATAATGTATTTTTAGATAACATAAAGTTTACCTAAAAATACATTATGAAACAGGAAGTACTTTGTCTAGCACGCATGAAGCCTGAAAAATGCTAGTTTCCTACAGTACATTCTATAATGTTCTGATAGCAATCTTTTCTGGGCAATAATACATGTAAGTGCTTGGCCTGTACATTTGGTACTAGCTTAGAATGCCACAGTTGGAGCTGTTCATACCCCGGCAGGTTTCAATCTAATCTTTTTTAGCCTGGTCCATCAATGATCATAGCTGCCACTGTTCTGCACTGATTATGAGCTAACATCAGATATCCTGAAATCTCTGGGGCACAAAGACAGATTGATGGATAGAGACAAAGCCTCGGTTGACAAGATATTACACACCACTGCTGCGTGATTAACAATGGGAGGATATATACATATTCACGTCCTGATAGATGTTCGTGCAAAGTAGCTGTAACACTACCATCAACATATCAACCTGTCCGGGATGGATGCAGATATACCGTACCCGCATGGAAGAACACAACTCAGGCAACGCACAAGGGACGCTACGATGTAAATCAATACGTTCGAATTACCGATCCGTCAGCTTCACCTGTCGACTCTAGACACGTGTTTCCTGATTAATACAAACCTACATGACACAGCAAACAAAGACATACCGGAGTCGGTAAACTTTACCACGTAATTGACTCCCTGGCATTTTCCTGACTCTACATATGAAATATGTATAACGCTTATTGACAGTTGAGCAAGTTTTAAGTGACAAAAGAGCTGAACCCTACCCTGTATGATCGGCAAGGTGGATCCAGAGAAGTCAAGTTATAATATCAGTCAAGAGTTGACAAGGACCTATGCTGATGCCACAGAGTCTGTATGCACATGCATAATCTCAAGTGTTCTTGACATTTCCCTGCATGTAAAATATTGATAAAACGCAGCTGAACCCTGAACGATTTCTTCCCCAGGACTAAACGCTGCCGACCATCTTCCCTGAGCCTCCTCTCGGCTTGGGTAAATTGTCTGAGTGGCCATCAAAGTCATGGCATTTGGAGCTGATCAAAGATTCATCACAGTTTACATCTGACCTGATTGTGGTATTTTTTGTGGTTTGGCAGGGAAAGAAATTTGGCTGGGGTCCAGTCCAAAAAAGTGATAACTTCATAATTGATATGAAAGTTGGCATATGAAGGATGTACAAAATTTCACGTAATTATTTGGTGGGTTACCACTATCACGATGATACTGAGATGTATTGCCAAAAAGATAAAGCTCATTTGATATACCTGTACTGTAGGCTTTGGCACACTACTTGAATGCATTCTTATTCAGTCCTGTGGCAGACAAATTTTTAAAAAGAAGAATGCAAACAAACCTGTATACATGTATGTATGAAAATGTACATGTACACTAACACTTCTTTATCATGGTAAAATACCACAATCATACAACACTGGGAAGGTTTGTCACTCATTGTAAAAAGGCCTATATACTGGGTAGCAACTAGACAGCACAGCATCTGTTGATCATGAATAGTACAACTAATAAAGTATATATACAATGTAGTGTGTAAATTTTCACAATTGATATCAATACCGCCAAGTTACTGTAGATAAAATCAAATCATAGCAAACACTGCTGAAATTACAATTATGATATTACCTAGAATAGATTTCTAAATCAATCCGTTAGCTGAGTGGGAAATTTGTAATATTTCTTTTCTAAAAATAGAATGTGCTGTGAGAAACAAACAAACAACAGAGCATTGTTTTTTGGGCTAGATTGCTAATATCCTCCAACGTTCTGATAAGAAACGACAGGTAATTACATTTGCATGGGTCTGCAGTAATGACTACCAATCTGTCACTGGGAATTTATCACACTACAAGATTAATCCAAGCAGCAATCAAGTGTAAGAGTGTCAGGCTCCATTACTCTTAGTCATTACGAACTGCATGTGGCTTGAAAGGAGTTATTAACAATGGCAAACCCCAACTTCTATGCTGCCTCACACATGAGGGTGTCGACTAAGCGATAAAAGCTACCCCAGCAATGGTAAATCACCAGCTCCTTTCATTGCGTAGGGTCGTCGCTAGATGGAGCGTTATTATCAACTAGACATTAAATCACTCTAACAAGCACGGATGGTTCAATGTCAAGGCAGACATGTTTAACATGACCTTTGACATGTTCTGGTAAATACTGGTAGAGTACATGTAGATAGCTGGGTAGTTGATTTCAATAAGAGATGTTCTACAGAAAATAGAATTGGGGCCATGATGGTAGGATGGTGGGGGTACCCGGTGATTTAAATATACAGGAGTATAAAGCAATACAGGACTGGTGGTTGCATCAATTCTATCTCCCTTGAAATGGCACCTTGACTATAAACAATGTGTGCAAATGTCCATAATGTAAGAAATCACAGTACAGTTACTGTAGTACTAAACCTAGTAGTCCTTCCTCACATCTTCTCAAGCATACATGTACACGTTCTTGCCATGTTACCTGTATCTCCTATTCTATTCAATGTAGAATTACTGCTCTTCAAATATACTATCTTGTCATTCATATGTACTAATTGTTCATACTAGTAGTCAGGTGCCATGGTACGGTGTACCATACTACCCTTCAATAGCACTTGACTATGAACAATGACTGCATACTATATTTCCTATCATAAGTAGAAGGTAAGAAATCACACTGATACTGTTATTAGTATTTATCTACAATATGTAGTGTGATGGACTGATGGTTGCCTGCCAACAGGTACATGCTGGCAGACAACCATCAGTCATCAAAGGTCAGGATTGGTAGCTCCCACCGACGTCTGGGCCTGTAATTGTTCCCTGTAACCTTCAGACAAGGGATATCATCCTAGACAGGGTGGCATTTGGATTGAAGGGTGGGCTCAATGTTACACCACAGAAAGGTCGTTCACGAAAAGTTCTCCGTGTAATTGTGATTGCACGTCGGTGAATACCACAGAGGACACACTTAGATTGATACCGTAGATAGCCGTGGTGTTGGATTGGCATGTCTGCAGTGGGAGGATGCAGGATTATAGCTGGAATAGCCACCATTTTTTACCACGCTCTTACAAAATTGCACTGCAACACAGAGGGACGACCCTGATGTGCTTGGAAAGGAAATTGCCTTTTTCCCATCACATATACGCCCCAGGGTAAGCGGTTGATGTATGAGTGTATATCTGAAGACGACCATAGCTTTTATGTTCAAGTTTCAACAAAAGACCACCACAGGAGAAAGTTAATACAAGTCATCAATTGTCAACAACAGACTATCGGACAGAGAAAATTGTTCAACGTCTCCTTTTGTATATCACAAGCAAACTTATATTATGTATCTCAGGTTAGTAATATCATCAGTCTGTCTTTTGTTTCTCTTGTTCAACTTTTTTTGTGTCAGCTTCCTTCAACAACCATCAGAAAGGGAGTGAAATACACTTGTTCCATTCCCGATAATTAAACCATGTCTCTTCCATCCACAGAAAAGCCAGACAAGTAATTTCCGTGGCAATGTTGTTCCCAGACTACCCCCAGGCACCCTGACAATGAACTTGA